ATGCAGTTCAAATGCTTTATGTAGCCTCTATAGCCACCACTCTTGCTAAAAGAAAAAAACACCTTATTGATAGTGATTTGTCAAACACATCTCTTACTAATTGGCATGGAAGTTAAAAAGGCTGGTTGGGCAACTGAAAAAGAACTAAGCTTTGAGTTTTTCTAAGCCCATTAGGAGTTCTTATATTATGAATTTGAATCTGTCAACAAAACAACATTAAAAAAAGTTGTGGAAGATTGGGGGAGGAAAGAATTTTATTAGAGTAAAAGTTTGCCTACTGAGTCCTTTTTTATCTGTTTTAAGAAAAATCTAGGTGTACCTTAGAAGAACATTCTAAATTACTAAAAAGGTTACTGATTGATTATACTATGCCATGAAGATTTAATGAGTTACCTTGAAAGGTATTAAAAAAACTATTCAAACATACCAAAAAAACCCACTGCCGTCGAGTTGATTCCAGCTCATAGCGACCCTATAGGACAGAGCAGAACTGTTCCATAGGATTTCCAAGGAGTGGGTGGTGGGTTTGAACTGCTGACCTTTTGGTTAGCAGCCAAGCTCTTAACCACTGTGCCACCAGGGCTCCATATAGACGTAAGGTATTATTTATTACTTATTACTGTTTAATAGTACTATTTATTACTATTCACAGCCAGTCTTTTTGTTTGATAATTTACTGCTCAATTAGAGGAATGGGTTGTGCACTTTAAGACCGGGAATATGATTTCTAGAATTGTGTTTACACAACAAAAATTTTACAAAGTATTTTGCATCATATAATGAATTTACAACATAATCAAAGAAATACCTTTTAAACACTTCTGAGACCTAGATGTTTGGTATATCATTTATTTATTAACAGAAAAAAGTTTATTCATATTTATATTGCTATCCATAATGTTGACTATAGAGTTTAAATCATGGGTTGTTGAAATTCTAAGACTGGATTTTTTTTTTTAATTACATATAAGATTTGGTATTTGTTACAGCATTAATTTTTCTGACATGTCATTAGTACCCTTACATAAATGTGTGAATATTTTGGTTCAGAATAATTTTGAATTTTATTTTAGATTCCCTGCATCAACTAAGAAGAGCCTGTTTTCTGTATTTCAAATTTGGTGGACAATGTGTTGCTGGTCCTGTTGGGCTGCTTTCTGTGTAAGTTGTTTGGGTGGCACAGAGGAAACAACTATTCCAGATTTTCTTGGGACAGTTCAGTGTGGGATTTATTGTAATTCTTTCTTCCTTAGACATTTTGTCATTTTATTAGCATCTCATTCACAAGGTAGCCCAGAGAAATGAATAAAGGCAACATTTAATTCTGTGTTTTACCTCTGGGAAACAGCATTGATTAGAAGTGGTGGTCGAAGAGACTAATTTGCCTGTGGATTTATCTGCATGATCTGATCTGTGGGTGCCATGGATAACAGAACTTTGTATTTAACTATTAATGTGATAGAAGCACAGGGACTCATGAAACTCAGTACTAGTATTGATGATGCAGACATGTGGAACTATTTCTTGAAAAGTCTGCAAAGTGAGATTCTTTGTTTTTT